GCCTGAGATTACGCGAACTTTGATTTTCTAAACGTCCGTGATAAAAGCCTGGGAGGGTATTTCAAGCCTCGACGCACCTACGCTCGTCGTTTTAATGTGTTCCGAGTGCATGCCGAGGGGGTGGCATCAAACCCACCTGAAAGGGTGCGGTTCGATTCACCACATCCAAGCACGAGTCCACGCTTTTGATAGGCACCTTACATGCAAGTAACTCTGCATGCGATATCTTCTACTTAACACACTACTCGTCGTGGGCGTCAATCATGCATATCGCTTCTCACAGACCCATGGCCAACCACGTGCCATTACGACTAGATTGCGATGCGAAATGCAAACGAAAGATGAAAAGGCCGGAATCGGACAAATGCTGCCATCCATTCACTAACAGGGCGCAGCCAGAATTTGAGGCGGGAGGAGGGAGGGGCGACCAGGATTTGCGAGGGGGAATATCAGGATCCCAGCCCCAATAGCATTCGTTTTACGGAAGGAGGGAGACGAGGCACCAGTTCCAGGGAGTTATCTATTGTTCGGACCATTGTCCTCGCCTGCTGTGTTGGTATTTACACTGCGTGTCTGCCAGTCACTTCCCCGGTCGTCGGCAGGTGTCATCGAGTCCTGAAAATGGTGTGGTTTCCAGTCTCGCACGCATCATGGCCCGAATGTCCCCATGGCATTGCAGTGATTCTAACCAGGGCATTGGACCGACAGTGCAGTGCTCTACCAACTTAACTTATCTGGAAGGACAGGACCGGGACAAGTCCTCTTCGGGTAGTTTAGTTGGTAGAACACTGGACTGCGTTGGAAGGCACGGGTTTGAATTCAACCAATGGTAAGGAGAGCATACGGGCTGTGAGGCCTACATGGCTTAAAGCCCATTGTCATCTACGTTTATCATTATATAGACTCAACACCTGAACACCTGAAGACGGCATGGGAGTAGACTGGCAGACAGGTTATGTAATTGCTCATGCACTAGGCGATGACAGTAGGCCGAAAAACCGCCGTGGCGAGAAAAAAGCTGCGCCGCATCCTAACGAGGGGGAGTTTAACTCCCATGGGTGGTTCTGTCGCGCATATGCAGGGTAGCTCATCCCGAGAGCACTTAGTACATTAATCCTCAACCTGCCCACAGAAAACCAGACGCGAATCCCACTTGATCGCAGGTCCTTTAACCACCACCAGCCTGATCTAGAAAACCGTGCGCTGCATCTGCCTCCACCTGTCTGCTGTCGCAGGGAGCATTACTAATGTTTTCCAGTACTAGGGAGATATGGGAGCTCACTCACTGGTGTACATGCATGCATGCATACATGTCAAGTGCCAACCAAAAGCGTGGTCTCGTGCATGGATATCATGGATTAAACCGCACCGTTTGAGGTGGTCTTGATATAGTCAACATCGACATGAACATGCAATACATTGGATCGACGTGCGTCGGTGCATCAAGACTCGGAATGCCCTTTCAGACTTTCATTGTGGACAGTTAAGAACTTCGCGAAGAAGATTCGCGTAGCGTCAGGTTGCCAGCCAGATATTTATCAAGCTTTTCATGACCCATTTTACCCGAAATGTTGATAAATCGCAAAACGACGCTAGTCAACTGACGCCCAGGTGTTCTTAATTAGATATCATGGAATGAGAGATGGATACTGTTTGAAGCAGGGCACGCTGTATGACTAAAGATAACTGACATCAAATGAAAATGTCGTCAATGGCTTCCCGCTGGCGAAGAGAGATGCCGAAGGGTCGGCCGAAGGCCGGCGAGACATCGCCTTCCAGATTTCCCCATGTGCTCTTTTTTTCCTGTTTCCTTCCTTTTTTTCCCTTTTTTCCTCGTCCAAGCAATCTTTAGGTCAGTGGTCGAGCCGCAGAGCTAATGAGCGAGCTCTCAGAGCTTCCTAGTACTGGAAGCAATTAATGGCACGAACTGCAGGCACCTGCTAGTGAACATTCGCGCGCGTGGATTGTAATTTTGCACGCAACCGGGGATCTAGCGGGAAATTCAGTAGCCGTGGCGAGAGATATTGATCGCTGTTCGCGGGCTGCTTTATCAGTTGGTGTGTCCGAGAACGGATACACAACTGAAATACCATATATGAGGTGAAATGGTCGTCCTAGTTATTCAGAAGGCGCACTAGATGAGCGTCGTTCCGTGCTTTTGAATTGGGCACCACTGAAACTGTCAAGTGACATGTGGGGTATGTTGCACCTAACCCTGGAGTCTGAAAATGCCTCATAATGTGCTCACGACTCTAGGGTTTTGGAACCAGAAGCGATTTTGATCGCTGCGATTAGGTGGTGTTTGTTAATTGGTAGCCAAAATAATTGTGATATCATCGATGATATGATAGGCCTTGTTTGTACTGATATTCACGCAAAATTGCATTCCCAAAAAGCAAAAGGCTGCGTAAAGCACCTCAGCACCCGCTGGTCTATTGCAACTTGTTGCACATTTTTACAACAAAAATTAGCAGCTAACCTACCTGTAAGATACTTAGATGAGCCAGACTTACTGTTGAAATTTGAAAAGGTCCTTACTGTGGAAGTAGATTGACACGTATTCAATTCGTGCACACCTGGTAAGTTGGACCGGGCCGGATTGCATTGGGAAATCTGGGAGAAGCGTATTGGCGGCCGGATTGGATTGAGAAATGTGGGAGAAGCGTACTGGCGGGCGGATTGGATTGAGAAATCTGGGAGAAGCGTATTGGCGGGCGGATTGAATTGAGAAATCTGGGAGAAACGTATTGGCGGCCGGATTGGATTGACAAATCTGTGAGAAACGTACCGGTGGGCGGATTGGATTGAGAAATCTGGGAGAAGCGTATTGGCGGCCGGATTGGATTGAGAAATCTGAGAGAAGCGTACTGGCGGGCGGATTGGGTCTGGACTAGCCCGACTGGACCGGACAAAATCCTTAAATCAAGTCCGTGAAGCGCTCTAGTGCCAATTCGCACAGAAGCGAGAAGGCGCTGACTATGCCACCGGGGAGCAGAGTTAATAAATAGGCTTGGCGTCTCGCTCAGGCGCCGGCTTTCCGATGCCAGTTCCCGGTGCCGTGAAACAAGTGATGCTGTCGGCATAGTTGACCAAACTCGGACTCGCGACTTTTGCAATGTTTGACTATATGCTGTTTACCCGTTCATGTCATAGGTGCGTGTGTTCCCGTCAGTGTGATAGGATTGGTCTTTTCCCATGTTTCTTGCATACTTTACTTCCCACGTTGTGCCTTATTGAAAAGCCACCGCGCGTTTTTTTCTAGGGAGATACATCATCATCATTGTCATCTTTGAGTAGTCATCGAGCGGTCTGTGCTGGTTGCCTACTAGGCTGAAGGGAGTTGGTTTTATGTTGGTAGCAAATGTTTCGTTGTTTTGGGACTTTTGCCGTAAATATTACGTCATACCATGGCCTCTGTAAGCCGAAGACACCTCCCCATCGGTCTTGGATGTGTGTTTTTTTTCGTATTATCTCGCGCCCGGCTGGCCGGTTGGATAGCATTTGCTCGGGTAGAGGGTCAATTTGACCGGCCCCCCTGAGATCTTAGGAACTAAGAAGTCCAGGGAACCAAATTCACAGAGTGCGTTGGCCTTACAGGAACTTACTTAGGTCAAAGTTTGAGGTTCCTAAGCCATGACCTTCGGGTCACATAAGGTCAAACAATGTCAAACTCCAAGTTGGTCTCCGAAATGTCCCCAGAGCCTAGATACCTGTTCTAAGCATAATATCACATGCTCATTTAATATCACTGACCTTGCTTGACATTTCGAAGGTCATGATGACCAAAATCATAGAAGATTGTTTTGAGTTTTGCATTTGAATAAACGACAAAAATAACATTAGACTTCTGAAAAACGAAATATCGACCTGGGTCATTTTAGATCAGCGACCTATTATGACCTTTAAGAAATTCATGGAAGATGTCTGGTGCGGTTCCTGTCATCAATAAATTTGAAATTAGCACAAAAATTACCCCATACGGCAGTCTCCAGAGTAATAAGACAGATTGGTTTTGACCTTGGTCTGAACTTTATACCTGACCCTAGCTCAATGGAATTTGGTCATTCACTTGTTGTGTTGCCTAGCAAAGTATCTCAGAGGTGTCTGTATGATGCTGATGTATGCGTAGCTTCGTCTAACACTATGTTCTTCCACTAGATTGAACGATTCCTAGAAATTCACTTTGCTGAATCCAATGGCCTGACTTTGACCTGCCGTTGGTCAGCGACCTTAGAAGACGCACCTAATTTTTTTGATATCACACAAATCGTTATTCAATTGTCTATAGCTATGCAAAACTTGTCGTAGCTACGCCTCGCCTTTCGGAAACCATCCCGGAAAAACCCTCGGGGTCAATTTGACTCCCGCCCAAGCGCGTGTTATTGAAGTGAAGATGATGGTAACGATGCCAGTCAGAAGTGCCAGTCAGGCCACATGGTTCCCTTTTGAGGGAACACTTATAGTCCTTTTGTGGTCAGGGCTCCCCAGGCTTTGATTTTTTGCTGAGCTCTTCCAACTGTAATTGCTGTTACAATAGCTTACTTCGGAGTTCCTGTGTGGTGTATTTCTTTCCGTGGAACGTCACATGTAATGCTATTTGCTGGCCGCTTTGGATATATAGACTAGCGTGCACTCAATGTAGATAAAATGGGTGCAAGAGCATGGTGTCATTGGAATTTCACCGTCGAAGAGCAGGCGACATGGTGGTCCCCTTGATCTGCCAATGTACCCCGAACTTTTCTCGCATGGCCGGACGGGCTGATTCATGCCACCGAAACGCATGGCAGTTTGTTTCTGAGTGCCGTGCAGGTAGGGAATTTCCCAGTATACCGTGCGTGTATCCACCGCCAACACCCTAATTCATGAAAACACACACACTTATTGTTAACGTCTGTCACATTTCTGACGACCATTCAGGGCCAAGGCACTGCTTGCATATACCATACCTTGAACAACCGCATTCCTCCTGTGCACAGCACGCCGAAGCTGCAAACCCAAGCTCCACTGTATCATGTATTAGCTTATGAGAAAATGGCAGTACTTGTGCAAACACTCCTAACGATCATCCTCACAACATAACAGCGGCGTGCCTGCAGCCCGCCGACGGCACCTTATCCTAGAGCGGGCCGGCGGCGCGCCGGCGATCCCCGCGTCCGTCGCGAGCGGGGCGCGCGTGTCCGCCGCCCGCGGCGCGCCACCACACGCCGCGCTGCGTCACTGCACGCTGCGCCGCCGGTCCCTGTGATGTGTTCTGCAGCGGCGGGCGCGCTCACTTGAGACAGAGCGGGCCCACCTCGAAGCCAAACGCCTGACGGGGCAGGCCGTAGTCGGCCGGCAGGAAGTCCTGAATGGGCAGCTGGTCCAGCGCCGCGGTGCGCAGCTCGAGCACCATGCGGCCCGTGCCTCGCTTCCCCTGCGGTGACGTCACGGACGCCGGCGGTCATTACCGGTGCATAAAGTCGCTAGTGAGGTCATACCACCACGACTGGTCGCCTGGGCCCATTTATCAGTCCAGTTCCCATTATCAAGCGCCGTGCATAAGCTGCAACCCATGATGTCCGAGTAAGTGCTTTACAACAGTTGTTATGGCCTGGAAGATAGCCGCTTGTGCGTGAAGTACGCACTTGTGACGTCACAGGTAGCAGGTAATTTGTCAATGGGGAACACGGCCCAGGTCGAGTTACGGTCGCAAATGGTAGCCGTGAGAGACGTCATAACGTAACAGCGAGTCGACCGATCAAGTAGCAGCTGGCAAGGGTCGCCCCCAGGCGAACGCAGCAACACTGCAGTGGGGGATGCTCGGAATGAGAAGGGAAGTGTTTCGGCCCGCAATACAAGGACTACATGTTGCCATTGATGTAGGCTGAAATTGTTTTGAGCCTTTTGTGCCGTTTCAAAAGCTGGTGGCGTTGACTTCTAGTGACGTAATAGGAGCGCTAGTTTTTGAATGTCGTACAGCACGGGTCTTTTTAGCCAGCAACTACACACAACACGCACCTTGCATTGGTCCTCCTTAATGGTTATGCGTCGCAAGTTCTTGGAATGACTGAAGATGGTGGCTGACGATCCCAGAATCTGGATGCTGTTGTTGTAGTTGTTGGCACGTGAGTCGAACCTGTGATGAATAACGAGGCATTGATGCGAGTATAAAATCGACTGAGGTCTCTCTAAAAAAAAAACGCATAGCATTGAAAGGGCACATCTAATCTTTCCAATTGATGTTCGTTCCGAGGAAGCACAATAGTATTCGGGAGCCCCAAACAATGTGAAATGCAAACTTAGTGAGAAACTGGGTAAACAACGACCGCGCCCATACGAGCACCAGTGAATGTGCTTTCCTCGAGCGGACATAAATAAACGAGCACTTTTTGGTACACAACAATAGCAGGAGCAGCAAGCACGCAAAATAGACATTCAACGACAAACATTAGGAAAAGGACGAGTAGCGGCTTTTTTCTCCTCGTCGGTTCACCCAGATCGAGTCTGCCTAGCGCAGTCCGCACGTCTCCATCATGCACAGCAGCGAGCCCCCCGGTCGCCGAGCAACCCCTCACCAGGCGGCGGAGTTGATGCATGTGTAGGTGAAGTTCTGGCGGCCGGTGTCCGACAGCAGGCGCAGGAATGTCATTTGCACTGGTCCGATCGACTCGTAGGTGATCTGTCGGCAGAGCAGGCGCCGTGGTTCACACGTGCCTCGACGGGTCACTGACGCCTGCTCGCCGAGGAGTCCCGGGACAGAGGGCGCACGAGTGCGGAGAACCGGCTCTGGCTTTGCGGTTCAACGCCGTTGCTTATGGCTGTCAGTCTTGGGGCGGTCGAACAAGCATGGCAGTTTGAATCCAGACTGGTTTGCATCCTTTGGCAGCGAACCATATTGATACAAAGCACCAGCGACTTCAGTTTGTTACAGACAGAATGTGTTATACGAAACCTTTCACCCATTTGGCAAAACCTAAGCAAAAGTTGCATCGGTGGGTCACCTTGAAGCCTCCTCTCAGCGTAGAGAACCAGCTGGCTCTCTCGGATGTCTTTCTCCACGGAATATTGGGCATCTTGCTGGCGTGGGCGTCTGGGTAGACGCACGTCTCGCCGAAGGACGTCATGTTGCAATAGACGTAGATGGCGTCGTCCGGCATGCCCAGGTTCGGGTCGATCCAATACCAGTCTGAAAGGATAAACGTGTCGATCTTCGTTTTCGACGAAGCTGATCTTCTTCGCTGTATTTTGGTACGTGCTATTTGGCACCCTCCCAATCCACCATCGTCGTTTATTGCGCCGGATGTGCGCATTAACATGCGACACGTATGAATATCTGCATAGAGTACAATGACACGTACTTGAAAAAATAAACTATGTAGGCTGTTGGCTAGAAACAAGGCCGCTAGAAGCGCATTAAGCCCACCATATAAAGGGAAGCAGATGTACACGTCAGAAACAGTTGTCACGGCATAAATTATGCACAGAATGCGACTGTATGTGACAGACACCAGTGAGCCTGGCAGCGTCTTCCGTTGCTAAGAGAGCTGCACCCGCCGAAACCCTCAGTGATGGGAGAATGAACCGCGTATAGAAGAGTCCCCCCCCCCCCCCCACCCACTCGCCCACACACAGACTACCCAGCTTGTCGAAAGGCTTGGTTTTAGTGCGTGTCGTAAATAATTTTTGAAAGCATTGTGACCCCATGCCTGCGCCTCAGCCGCAAATTATGTCAAGCACCCGAGTGACGATCTGCATAAAACGAGCCCACAACTTCGCCGTTTTAAAACCCCACCGCGCCCGCACACGCGCAATTATGTCTGCCGACAGCGGCACAGACCAGTCGTCAACAGCGAGCATGAAATTCAGCCGCACGGTGTTCTATTTCTGACCAATGGCCGAAGCCGTTGAGATCGGAGGTCGACTGTCGTAACAGGGCGCGAGTGGGCGGCGGCAGTAGCGACCAGGCTCAGGTTCAAGCACTTAGCGAATGGAACGGAAACGGATCAGTTGTACTTAATATGCTGATGCATGCATCATTAATGACTAGGAATGTTCTAAGAAACTGACTATCTTATGGCACACATGTTCATGACTCGCGAATAAGGAGACCGCCAGCTGCAAGTTCAGTTATGACACCGGCTGGGGGCAAAACGCACCGCTCTTAAATTTCGGATGTCCGAAGTAGAGATCGCGGCAGGTCCTGATGGGGTTGTCGCGCGTGCCAATCGGCTTCCGAATCCGCCGTATGTCCTGGCGCATCGAGTAGATGCTGCTGTACATGCTGAGCAGCTTGTCGGAGAACTTGGTGTCGTCCTCTAGCGCGTCATCCCCGCGCCTGCGCGACAGGCACCCGCGCCGTGAGAGGCGGGCCAACCGCTGGACAGACGGCTCACGGTAACACGAGCACTGCACTGGCACTGGAGAGTCGCAAGAGATGGCAGCAGTGACTTCATGACTCGGATTAACGCCTTTGTAGCCTGATGACTCCGGATCAACGCTTTGTGACCTGATGATTGCAGATCAGCGCCCTTGTTCATGTTTTGAAAAAGCGGCCAGCGGTACGCTTCGGAATTATTAAAACTCTTATGCGCATTTTTCAAACAGTGGTCAATGACCTGACACCCCAATGGGCGACCACGGCAAGGTTCCCCAGAGGCCGCTCACACTTCTCTCTTGCGGCGCTCCTCCTCTGGGCCCTTGAAGTTGCTGCCCTGGTACAGCAGCTCTGCCGGGATGACCGGCTGCTCGCCCGGTGGGCCCGGCGGACCCGGCGGGCCCGCCGGACCCTGGCGGCCCTTCACTCCGGCAGAGCCCTGCGTGCCCTTGGAGCCCTGTGAACCCTCCACGCCGGGCAGGCCCTGAGGCCCCGGGTTGGCCTTGTCGCCAGGACTGCCGGCAGGACCCTGAAATCGCGGCTATGGTCAGGAGTCACCAGGGAAGTCAAAGGCAACGGGAATGTGGACTGGCTTGTCCCGTGTTAAAGGAAGACGGAAGTTCGAAGAGGCGAGATTTACGAGGATCGTACCGGCTGCGACAAAGGGACCTAGGCTTTTGCACTAAGTTCCAAGTTTAACGTTATATCCACCATCCTGCTGAAATCGATGCATCGAAAATCGCTCATGTGCTCTCAGCTTGTAGTCATTTCGTGCCTACAGGCAATTACTCATTACCGATTTAATACCTAACAAGTGGGAAAAAGACAGGTGTATAACGTTTTTTTTTACTGACAATAAACCGTGAAGGGCAAGTTTGTGGGATAACTGAAAACAGGTAACGTTACCATGATTATTGATCAAAAAGCAGTCGTAGAGAGCAGCATATTTCGCCCCAGGTTGAGCGCGTGCTTACCATGTCTCCTTTGCGGCCGGGCAGACCGGTGGGGCCCCTCATGCCGAGCTCGCCCTTCTCGCCCTGTTCGCCCTCCTTGCCGGGCACGCCGACCTCGCCGCGGTGACCCTTCTGACCCCGGAGACCGCGCCGGCCGCGGCGGCCGACCGGCCCTGGCTCGCCCGGCAGTCCAGCTGGGCCTGGCTCTCCGGGCTTGCCCGGGGCGCCGCTCTCGCCCTGTCGCCGGCCGAGGACAATTATAGGAGTGGGCTCACCTGAACAGCATGAGACAGGTGCGAACGTGCGCATGAGGCGTAGACAATTTCCTGACCTGGTATTGATGTTAGCATTGGCGGATTTTTTTTTGCCGTGGAAATGGGGAAACGCGAGTATGCGAAAGGAACGTTGGTGGGGCAGTAAAGCAATATTTGCTTTAGGTTCCCTGATCGGCAAATCGCACAATCACTGGACTTTAACTCTCGCAAAGCAAGATCATCGTTACAAAAGAAGGCACAGTAAGTAAGGAAATATGTGTTAGACCCTTAACAAAAGAGGCAATCAATCCCGCTGAGCTAGGTAAGGATGATCTCTGAACATTGCAAATAAGTGTACTGAATGCCCATGTAATTGAAGAACATAAACAGAACCGGATCCCCCCTTCCCCGTCATCTTTCAATACATTCCTTGTGTATGCCACCTCGGATGTCTACGCCACGACGGCACGCACCATTACGCAACGACAACGGCCTAAACCACATGCTGGCGTCTTACCGGCTGAGTTTGTCGCAACATGACACATCAAACCCCCTACGCGCGCTCCACCTGTCAGACACGTGACCCTGCTGACGGACCACTGACCGCGTCACGTGTCCGACCGCTTCCAGCGGCCAGTACTCACCGCCGCCCCCGGCGAGCCCCGCAGGCCGTAAGAGCCCTGCGGGCCCGGAATTCCGGCCGGTCCCACGGGACCCTGGCGTCCCAGCTGGCCCATCATGCCCTTGTCGCCCTTCTCGCCCGGCGTGCCCTGGCTGCCCTGAGGGCCAGGCGGACCCTCGGCGCCCTGTGGGGAGACGGGAGACGTGGTGTCAGACGGAGATGAGGTGAGGTAGAGAGCGGTGAAACAGACGCTGTGTCGGACGGCAGGCTAGAGATGAGGTGAGGCAGGCAGCGGTGAAACAGACGCTGTGTCGGACGGCGGCTAGAGATGAGATGAGGTAGAGAGCGATAAAACAGACGCTTTGTCGGACGGCGGCTAGAGATGAGGTGAGGCAGGCAGCGGTGAAACAGACGCTGTGTCGGACGGCGGCTAGAGATGTGGTGAGGCGGAGAGCGGTGAAACAGACGCTGTGTCAGACGGCGGCTAGAGATGAGGTGAGGCAGAGGTAGATGAGACAGACGCTGTGTCCGTCAGCGTGGAGGCGGCGATCACCATTTGAAAGACTCGACAAGCATATTTTTCTGGCCTTGATCGCCACATGGCTAGTGGAATGGCATACTTTGAATGACATTGCAATGGCGTCATGGATGCTTGGGTGACCTTGGATTAGTGTCTCCGAAATAGTCTGCACATCTTCGCGGGCGTGTAACTCAGTAACTGGAAGGGTTTAGGTCTTAAGAAGGTCTCCACAGCCGTAACAGCTCATTACACCTCGTTGGCGTCTAAAGTCACCATGGTCAGTGACAGTAGCGTAGGTGTGGTAGATGAGAGTGGAGGGGAGTAGGGCTTGTCTCACCGATCGTCCGGGTCCTCCGGGAATGCCGCGCTCGCCTTGCGGCCCGGGCTCGCCGGGCGGGCCGGCCGCTCCCGGTGTGCCGTCGTCACCAGGACCGCCCGCTTCGCCCTTGACGCCCTGCAGACCGACACAGACAGGTGTCACACGCGCGGATGGGAAGGGCGATGTTAACACCATTCAGAACACTGCACTGTGTCGGAAAAACATGTCACACGCCGTTCTCAGCTATTTGAGATTTCCGTTATCAAGGATTTGAAACGAACCCCACAAAATGTGGCCATCCCAACGCCCACAAGTCCTGCCGTCTCATCTTCTCACTATTCCGCCGTCTCTCTAAGCCATTTCAACGGCGGCTGGGCCAGACGCCCACCAATTCACGGTCCTTCAACCAAGCTGTTCTGTCTTGCGTCTATGGAACATTCCAGCACCCCAGCACCCAACAAGCACACTCTTCTGCATCCTACCATCTAGCCAACCTAGCAGCCCGCTTGTCAAACCATCCACCATCAGCACTGCCCCACATTCACACCATCACGCTGCCTCACCAATACATCATCATACTGCCACACCATCACGTTGTCACACCATCACGTTGTCACACCATCACAACATCACGCTACCACATCAGCACGCCATCATACTGCCCCACCATCACACCGTCACGCTACCCCTCCCCCCATCACACTATCACGCTGCCATGCCATCACACCATCAGACTGACTCACCATCACACCATCACGCCTCCACATCATCACACCATCACGCTACCTCCTCTCTCCACCACTCCAATATTCCCACCAATATAAGCGCTGTCTGGTGCTTGCTGAATGTCTGATACGGCCGGCATAAGTCCCGCAATTTCTTTGTAACGTCACGAACGACATGTCCGGCTGCAGCGTCTCACCATGAGTCCTGGCTCTCCGGGTGGTCCAGGGAAGCCCTCGTTCCCAGGGCTGCCCTTGGGGCCGACGGGTCCAGGCGGTCCGCGTCTGCCGGCGGCGCCCTGCAGGCCTCGGTTGCCGCGCTCTCCCTTCTGGCCTCGTCGCCCTGGACCGCCGTGCCGCCCGGCAATGCCCTCGGGGCCTGGCGCTCCGTCGCTGCCCGGCTCTCCCTTGATGCCCTGCTGGCCCTCAGCGCCCGGCGGGCCGGGCAGACCCTCCAGGCCCCGCAGACCCGCCTTGCCCTTCTCGCCAGGCAGACCGGTCAGACCCGAAGGTCCTGCAACGAGCAGACAACCGCGGTGGGCCTCTGTTCAGCAACGATTGGGTGCGTCGAACGGCGGCGTCTGCTTCTCGGATTACGTAGTTTTAGTCTCAACCAAGAGCAGCTCGAGAAAGATCTCGATTTTCATGCTTCAAAATCTCACGAAAAGATGTGACAAGATGTTCAAGCAAGTCAAACGGGAGCTGCAATCGAAAACAGCCGACGTGACAAGCTGCTGCGATGAATCTGAATACGTCTTCAACGCTCAGTCGCTTACCTTTCCTTCCCCTGTCGCCATCTTCTCCTTTCTCGCCTTTCGCGCCGGGCAGGCCCTGCTTGCCGGAGGTTCCGGGCAGACCCTGCTTGCCTTGCGGGCCCGCCTCGCCCTTGCGGCCCGGCCGGCCCATGTCTCCGGCCAGACCCTGCTCGCCGTCGGGTCCCGGCGGGCCCGGTTCTCCGCGGGCCCCCATGGGGCCCACAGAACCGGCCAGTCCCTGGCGGCACCGGTACGACTGTTAAACAGGCTGCCGCGGTGCTCGTGGTGTTCGATGAGTGCTGTCAGGCCCTAAACGTCTCTATGGCACATTGTTTTTGATTTCTGAAAGCGTGTTTTGCTAACTGAACTAGGTGAGGTGTCAGTCTGTGATCTGTGATTTGCTAGCTGTTATCTATCGCAACCTCACCGTTCGTCATTGGTGAGGTGTTTAAGGAATCAGTCGGTGATGTGTTATATGGACATTTTAAGGATTCAGCCAAGTTGAGTGCAGAGATGGCACGCTCAACCATTTGACATACGTGCCGCAACTGAGCGGACATTAACGTGTCATACACCATGACTAATCTGGACAATGGTTATGCTTACCCCCTCACATCTGCCGCGTAATTCTCGCTAATATCTCAATGAGTCAAATGGGTAATTCTTAGCGAAAACCAGATGATCATTGGTTCAGCAGAGCATCGAGGGGCTTTGCAGCTGCGGGATACATGAACAGTTGGCGGTGTCTCTCACGAGCCAGACCACCAGCTTCAATGGCGTGGCCGCAGCGACTCCCGTCAGTGATTGTCGGCCGGCGCCGACCACGCCTCGCTCTCACCGTGTCTCCGCGCGGTCCGTGGTGACCCTTCTTGCCGGCCACGCCGCGCTCTCACCGTGTCTCCGCGCGGTCCGTGATGACCCTTCTTGCCGGGCTCGCCGATCTCTCCCTTCTCGCCGTCCTCGCCGGGCAGGCCTTGCGGCCCGGTTGGGCCCTGGAGACCTCGCAGGCCGGGCAGACCGTCCCGCCCGGTGGGGCCCGGCAGGCCCGGGGGGCCCTGCAGCGGTCAGCAGCACCGGCCGTCACGCGTACGCTCGGCCAGCGTGGCCCACTCAGAGCGGCACAGGTCACGGACGACGACGCAGGACACAAATACCACGCATTCAACTTTGGTTACTTATTGACATTCATGTTAATTGCACGCTATCCGACTTGATCGAAGTCGTTGAACTATACATCGAAATGTACGTGAGCGCACAGCGCCAACATGCAACTATTTTCCTGCAATGTGACACAGCGGATAAGACACATCATCAGGCAACAGCAATCAAATGGCCCGCTTTGACTCACATGATCGCCCTTTGTACCAGCAGGACCCTGACTGCCAGTGGAGCCCCTAGCTCCCACAGGTCCTGGCGGACCGTCGGCGCCAGAGTAACCCGTCTGACCCTTGTCTCCTTGTACGCCCTGAGCTCCTGGGGCTCCACGGTCACCCTTCAGACCTTGGAGACCCTGCCGGAAAGGTACGGGAATGAGTCAATGTGTTGCGGACTGGCGTCGCACCAGCACCGACTAAGAATTATCTTCGCAGCATTTGTGGTCTGTCATCATAATAATTGCAGGATATTGTGAGCTTTCAGTGTAAGAACCGAGTAGCAACAAAAAAGCCAGTATACATACAGATATATCTGTCGAAATCTTCGCACTTGAGCATAACAATGGTTGAAGTGAAATGATTTACTAACGGCGTCTCACGGTTGGTCTGCAGTTGCTTTGCTGTGGCCAGCGCCACCTATTAAGCATGATATGACTTCGGTGTTAGTGCGCCCTAAAATCCAATAACATGAATAATTCCCATTAAAAGTACCAGTGCTGTAATCTATTTTGCCACTTATATTGCTTTTAATAATGATGAGCCTTCCGCTTGTACCCACCGTGAGTCCTGGCAGGCCGCGCTCGCCGGGATAGCCGGGCGGGCCGGGCGAGCCGGTGGGACCCGGCTTGCCGGACGAGCCCTGCGGCCCGGCCGGGCCCTCCTTGCCGGTGGAGCCGGGCCGACCGTGCGCTCCCGGCAGGCCCGGCAGGCCGGGCGCGCCCGGCTCGCCAGCGGCGCCTGGCTCGCCCATGGAGCCGGGCGGCCCCACCACGCCAGCCGAGCCCTGCGGTCCGGGCGGCCCCGGCTCGCCCTGCAACCGACCGTATCGTCAGGCGCCGTCCTGCGGGCTCTCGGAGGTCACGTTTGCCGTCCTGCGGGCTCTCGGCGGTCACGCTCGCCGTCCTGCGGGCTCTCGGAGGTCACGCTCGCCGTCCTGCGGGCTTTCGGAGGTTACGCTCGCCGTCCTGCACGCTCTCGGAGGTCACACTCGCCGTCCTGCGGGCTCTCGGCTCACGCTCGCCGTCCTGCACGCTCTCGGAGGTCACGCTCGCCGTCCTGTACGCTCTCGGCTCACGCTCGCCGTCCTGCACGCTCTCGGAAGTCACACTCGCCGTCCTGCGGGCACTCAGTGGTCACGCTCGCCGGTCCTGGTTTGTGCTGGGCACAACGACACCGGCAGCCATCTTTGATCACAGGCATGCTGTAATTAAGTTCCGCCGTCAGCCTTTGCCAGTCCTAGACTTGATTTTCATGAGCGACGCCTTTCCCAGAGGGCTTTCAGTCAGTTTTAAAACTGGCCGATAACGACCACTACAGACCTGCAGCAAAGGATGCAGGTTCTGTCAAACGTCTGTCCCTGCCATCACGTGCTCGCTATCTCTCCGTCTGCCGCCAGCCTCCATCCGGTGCACCCTCCCCTTTCGCAGTCCTCACCTGCTGTCCCCGCTCTCCGGGCGGCCCCTGCACGCCGTCCTTGCCGTCATCCCCGCGCCTGCCCGTCTGGCCGTCGAAGCCTCGCGGCCCCTCCTTGCCTGGGGCGCCGCTCTCGCCCTGCGGCCCGGCCGGGCCCGGCTGGCCCGTGTCGCCCTTGGAGCCGATCGGCCCTCGCGAGCCCCGCTTGCCTCGCGAGCCGCGGAACCCCTGCCGCATAGCACAGACAGCAGTGCGGCGGAGAGAACACCTTCGTCCGCTAAAGCTACGGCTGTGCCGCTTCCATGCATTCTTCGTAGACGCTGCGTTATCGAAGTCACTTCAGTGTGCTGTGCCGAGCAAGTATTCGGCTTCAAGTGGTATTCCAGTGGAAACAAAGTACAGCAACAAATCAAAAACATATCTGGAACATTGCGAGGATGACAAAGAGCACGAGACTCGAAGACCGTAGACATGTCAGTACTCACAGCGTCCTACTGACCAAAGTTCGGACGGGCCACGACTTACCCTGGGTCCTCTCTCGCCTCTCTCGCCCTCCATGCCGTCCGGTCCGAACTGGCCCTTCTCTCCGACACGGCCCTGTTGACCTTGCAAACCCTTGTTGCCCTTGGCGCCGCTGACACCCGGGTAGCCGGGGAAGCCGGTGGGGCCTCGCTTGCCCTTGTGACCTGGCTGACCGATGGCTCCCACCTCGCCACGCGGGCCCTCGAACCCCTGCCAGACACAGGGGGGGGGGGGGGGAGGGCTCAGGGGGCAGGGACGCACCGGGGGACTGGCGCCGGGCCGGGCAGGCCCTCAGTCGGCCCGGATCTGCTGTACACAGCGCGCGGCTCGCTTTGCACTGAACGGTGGGAGAGTCTTTGGTTAGATAGCTGCATCCAAATGTGGTCCTAATTCGTACTTTGATCGTCGTTTATGCGAATTTATGGCTTTTAAATCGGTACATCGGCAATCCCATGACGTAACCAAGGCCCATTTTTTCATTTGGTTTCAAGAAACAGTCACTGCACATATCGCAGAAATTAAGGTGGCCTCCAGTACAACACCCGGAGCGGGAAACGCAACGGCTCTCATGATCATAATGATCCCGCGCCAAAACGACGCACTTTTAGCATAACCAGATTTCGATTGGAGCAGCAGGCTTACCTTGGCTCCTTGCGGTCCCTCGAGTCCGACAACACCCTGTGGTCCCAGCTCTCCGCGATCTCCCTTGCCGCCCATGTCTCCCTTCTCGCCGTCCAAGCCGTTGTCGCCCTTCTCGCCCTTGTCTCCGAAGGCCCCGCGGGCTCCGCGTTCTCCCTTCCCGCCGCGAGGCCCCGGGAAGCCAATCGAGCCCTGCCCAGCGCATCACATTCATCGCAGTTGTCAGTCATCACACTTATCAGAAGTAAATCACGTATGGAATGGCGTCCAGGCGGAGTTCATGAAAAAAATCTGCGAAAATATGTGTACCTTGAATATAGCAGTAGAAACAAACGAATATATGGTTCGAAGGAAAGGCATGACGGCAACCCCCTCAGTGCTGCCAAGCAAGGTCATGCTCCAACAGGATTTTTTATTTAAAAAAACGTAACAGCTAAAGCTGCAAAACGCTTCCAAACCAAACAAAACGCTTCCAACGAACAAGTTCTCCATCAGCAGGAGCCACATCTGCACACGAAGGCTTCCATCCCACTCCTCATGATCAAGGCAATACGGAGTGAGAGGAGGGGGGTCAGAGTGCCGACCTGAGCTCCAGGCACGCCTTGGTCACCCTTGCTGCCCGGAGCGCCAGGAGTGCCTGGCCGACCAGGAATGCCCTCAGCACCATGCAGGCCAGGCAGACCCTGCTTGCCTTGTGGACCCTGCCGGCAAAGAAATAGTAACGCGTGCACAAAACAGAAACTTTGGCAACGTGGTGGTTTGATTCGTGACGCCAACGCACACACACGTTTTGCACACATAACGTCAAGGGCTCTCATTGCCACTGAACGATTTGCTTGCTTAACTCAAAGATCAGATTTCGCAGGTGATACCGGGTGCAAATATAGATTCCTAACTTGCATTTAATGCATTGCATGGGTTTTAACGAAGCGGCCGTATTTTGCCCAATACCACTGGCAGCTCCGTCCCACTCGGGTTGAACGTCGCAGCGACCTGGTGGCCGAAGCAGGTCACTCACGGTCGGTCCGGTGGGACCCAGCGCGCCCTGCGGCCCGGTGGCGCCCGGTGCGCCGGGCGGTCCCAGTAGTCCCGGCGGGCCCGACTGGCCAGGTGGGCCGGCGCTGCCCTTGAGGCCCGTCGGGCCCTCCGAGCCGGGGATGCCCGGGCTGCCAGGCAGACCGCCGAAGCCGCGCGGGCCCGGGAAGCCGCGAGGTCCCATCTCGCCGGACACGCCCGGCGCGCCCTGGACGCCGGGCTCGCCGCTGGCGCCGTCGATGCCAGTCTGACCCCTCTCGCCCGCGCGCGCCCCGCCGGCCCCGGTGCCCCTTCTCGCCGGGTAGGCCTGCCGGCAGACCACCAGCGTTAAGGCGGCAGAGCTGAGCAGCTCTGAAAGACACTAGGCTGCCAATGGCTGCTTTAGTCGATGATAGAAAGGACACTGATCATGGCGATGATAGCGACCTTCCGGAGCAATTCCGACGCTGCAATCCGGAATCATCATACTTGACGCACAGTGTACTTGCGCTAAGCGGTGACAGCAAGTTCATACCGCTAAACGACGAAAGCAAGTTTCATTCGTGCGGGTCGGGTGAATTTTTTAATGGATCCAGATGTGCGCATATCGTTCTGAACTATTGCTGAACCACACTTGCTCTCCCTCGAGCGCTAGCTAGCCAGCAAGAAGTTCGCCGAAGCGCGCTCGGGTTCTGACCTGGCAGGCCCCGCAGTCCGTCCGCTCCCTTCTCGCCGGGCGGCCCCGACAGGCCCCTCTCGCCGTCCTTGCCAGGCTCCCCTCGGCGGCCGGCCCGGCCAGGGAGGCCCTCCGGGCCGCGGCGACCTCGGGGCCCCTGTCGGCACGCATCGACGCACCGTTAGCCGCCCTCGAAGCACGTCACAGCTGTGCTGGTTTACACCAAGCACGTAACGTATGACAACGGCTTCTTCTTCAAAAGACGAAGCGTGGACAATTTGTTCCCCTATCATGGACACGAGATACCTAGGTGAGGGGATGACAGCGCATTGCAAAATTGCTGCGACTCATTTCGCGAAAGGCAGGCTTATGCAAAACAACGAAGGCACTGTCTTAGTCATCCTGTGTAAATCTCATGTGCTGTCACACATCTTAAAGGTGTCCGAGACGTTGTCCGAAAGGTCACAGGCAACGTTTGAAGTATCTCTAAGAATTTATATCCAACACGCATGAATTCTGCACTCCAGCAAGCAATTTCTAACCAGAACATATCGCACTGCAATTACTTAAGAAAACCAGCAATTCTAGCTCGTTTTAAGCGTTAGAATATTGACTATGTTTGGACGGAGCATGCATCCGATTTGATCGGAGACCGGAGCACGCGCTCATGAAGAGCGGACCCCCTCCGGTGGCCACGCACCGCCGGCCCGCTACTGCCACCGCCACTGCCACCGCCACCGGCACCGCCACCGCCACCGGCACCGCCGGCCCCGTGCTGTCATCACTCACCGGCTCACCTGGCTCGCCGACCTCGCCTTTGATGCCGGGCGGCCCGGGCTTGCCCTGTGGCCCCTGAGGCCCCGTCAGGCCCCGGGACCCCTGACTGCCCTGCATCGCGCGCATGTGCTGGTTCAGCATGAGGCGCATGGCCTCTGCCTGAACGTCAGGCCCCTTCTGGCCCGTCCCAGTGTTGATCTGGAACGGTGGGTGGCCGGTGTCATCAGCGGGGCTTGTGCCGAGTTGGCAAGTGCAGCTTTACGACAAGTTGGTATGCAGAGCTTTACGACAAGGTCTCAAATGGAGCTTGCAGAGGAAATGGCAAGTACGACTGATGTAGCGTTCGTGTTCCAATGATTACTGGTCTTGCAGTCTCGCTTTGGCAACGCAGGTGTAATGGCACGAAGAAAGACTGTTACCAAGTGAACGCATGTGCTCGCAATTTAATAACATCGTTTTAAGAAGAAAACAAAACTTATTTCACTGCAGTCTTTTTTAGTCTTGCCTAAAAGCGGAAAATTCGGCTCTGACTTCAAACAGGTTGGAACTGTTTGTGTTATTGACCCGACATAACCCGAACACCAACACACCAGAGTACCTTTCAAATGCATGTGAGATAAGGAACCCAGAGGAAATCTCGAACATCAAACTATTCTGCAGTCATTCTACAAAACATCATGGGATCGGACACCCCTCCTCCGTCTCAGCACGAGGGTTGAACAGCAGGTTACGGTTAAATGGCTGATTTTGCAAGCAGATTTCACAACTAGCGCATTTTGCATATGAGAAATACCTACGATAAGGTTTCTCAAAGGACTTAGGAGGCTGTTAGTAAAGAACATCGAAACATCCCAGCCTGTTCCCAGCGGCCAGCCGGCGCTTGCCGCGTGAGAGCGGCAACGCCACTCACCGGGATCATAAACACACTGCCGGGCGATCCTGGCGGCCCATCCTGGCCGTCCGGTCCCGTCCATGCCGTGCTCGCCGGGAGGTCCCACGGGCCCGGGCGGGCCTGGCACGCCCCGCAGGCCCTGGTACGGCGCCGGCAGCGTGTCGTCGTAGCTCTCGTCCTCCTCGGACGGGTCGTAGTCGGGCGGCACCGGCGTGCCGCCTTCCGGCGGCGGTTCGGTGGAGGCGGCATCGGGCGGCGGTTCGGTGGAGGCGGCATCGGGCGGCGGGCCGCCAAAATCGGGGCCTTGGGTCGGACCGCCCTCCGGGGGCTGCTGGTCTCCGTAGTCCGGGGATAGGCCACCCTCAGGAAACTCTCCGTAGTCCAGGGGCGGGCCACCCTCCGGAGACTGTGCGTCCCCGAAGTCCGGGGGCGGACCTATGTCCGTGAGCCCTGACTCTCGATAGTCGGGGTCCGCGCCGACCGGCGGGGGCTGGGCGTCTTCGTAGTCTGGCGCCCGTATCTCCCCCGGGTCTGCCGGTCCGGCCTCCTGGGGCGGCCGTGCGGGCGTCTCTGGTAGCTTGTCTTCCGTCGTCGCGTAGTCGTCCTCCGGGTCAACACCAGTGTTAGAGTCTCCATTCTGCGGGGGACGAGCTCATTTGACAACACGTGGTGCAAACCGAGGCAGATTGTCTTTAAGTGAGGACGCCTCCAAGGTTATGCCGCACTGATGAAACTCACCAGAAAGGAAACACAGCACACACGTTTTTTTAAAAGATTTAATGCGAACCTTTTGAGTGGGTAGATTTCTGGAATCAGAGCTTATGCTAATCAGCACTTGTATGTGCCCTAGCCCCTACCACACGATCGTGCAATTCCATGCCCGCGGCAGAGTCTGGTGGTGAAAGTTTAACGTGCCGCAATGCTCGGCACGGTCCGCCCTGCTCTCTGACGCCATCTGACCTTTCGCATGGCCGCTGCCGCCGGCCGCAGGCCACACATGTCAAGGACAAATAGCAAGCGCCTAACCTAACTCGAACGCGCCCCGCCACGGGGGAGTGGATTTGAAGGCAGGTGCTGTAACCGACTGAGCAATCGGGACGGACAAGCGGTCCCCCATTTTTGTGTTTGTTTTTGGTTGCCAAAAATTGTTCGTATTACTTTACGAATGCTCACAAAATGTCCGTGTACATCAAACGTTCAGTTTCACCATTAATTTTCACCTGGTATGTAAAAAAACGCGCTGAGGATAAATACCTGGGTTTCACTCCAGCGGAGTATGAACTGCACACATGGACTTTTCAGTGGCACCTGAACTGAACTACACGCTTCGGATTTATATCTTAAATGGTGGAACTTTCGGATCAACATTGATACGGTCCGGCATAGTGACCCCTTCACAATAAAGAGTCAGCCGACTGGCTTCTTTCAAAGGTGATTTGAGTCAATTTGACCCCATCAGCTGTGCAGGACGGAATGCTGTTTTTTCTGGACCAATAGCTCGGTCCTCTGAATGTTCATCTTACGTTCAAGGGTCAAGCATTCACAGCTATTAAAATCAGGCACCAGAACTCTAGAGACAAATACTTGATACTTCAAGAGACATGATACTTGAATCGACGTGCTCCTTGTTCACTTTTGAGGGCAGTGGTTGAGTGGTGTATAGTTTTATGTGTTTTGAGCATAGATGCATCGTGTATAGTTCCGTTAAATCAATAATGTCTGGCCACCGCGGCGGCCCGCGGAATCATCGATTGCCGCCCGCCGCCCTCGTGGGTCGTAGATCGCCGTGAGGCGTTCCTCAAAAACTGCCGTTGCTGCGGGACCAGAAATTCTAGGGACATAATTTTGGCGTCAAAACACGCGGCGCAGGGAGTGTGCCACAGGTCACCAAAAATTTGGACACGACTGCACAACATACCAGAGAGGTGTCGTTAGAAAACCTGGAGGGGTCTCATCGATCTCTTTATCAGGGCGAGGGTTAAAATATTTCATATTCTAGTTGAGCCAGAATGCGCAACCGTCAAGTGCACATTCAACCACAGTGAATCATATGTCAGGACACAGTCCTTCGTCCGCGCAGCTCTCGATGTCAGCTCGCCGCCCCATGCATGGCACGCGCCGACGGTCAGCCTACCTCGTAGTAGTCGTACACATCGGTGTCGCCGTCCTCGTACTCCTCGTAGAAGGCGGTGTAGTCGGGCTCCTCTGCCTGCGGCGGCTCCGGCCGCTGCAGGGGCGCGTTACACCCGGGCGAGTGCAGCGTACACTGGTCGTACGCGGCTGCCGGGCTGCGCGCCAGCAGCACGTCCTGGACGTCACCCTGCCGAGAGGACGTCGCCATGTCACCGCCGCTCACACGCCGCGCGTGTGCTGGCAGAGCAAAGGCGTGGCCGGGGTCGCACGATGCTGGTTGCGGCACAAAGAGCGGAAGACGGGAGCTGGACTCTGAGCGTGGTGGATCCAAGCGGAGAGCAGCGAATCAGCGACAACCGGAGAAACCACCCTGTTGCCATATCACAGAAGGGCCTGTCTGGGATGCAGGTATCAAAATTTCCTTGTGCTCTAGCACTCGCAACGCGACTTTCGGCTGGCTGACCGCTCCCATGGACTGGTCTGAAAGCAATCTTCGGATTGGTGGCCGCTAGCGTGGACTGACCTGAAAGCAGCCTTCGGCTGGGTGACCGTTCACGTGTCCTGACCTGAAAGCAACTTTCGGCCGGGTGGCCGCTCGCGTGGACTGACCTGAAAAACTTGTGCTGCCAGCAGGTCCTGGCCGACGATTGTGACACCGCGGACGTCCAGCCGCGCTCTGGCGTCTCGCGCCAGCGCCTTGGTCTCGCGCTGGGAGCAGTCGACGAACAGGGTTGCCGAGTTGCCCTTCACGGCTACCGCCACGCGATGCCACCTGCGCGACGAGTCGACGGTTTGGGGGCGAAGTAGCTGAGGTGGGAGCATGCTCGGCTTCCACGCGGGCGGTCCGGGTTCGATTTCCAGCTGGCGCGATATAGCTGCTGATATGACGTTGTCGATGATGTGGGCGCTGACGTGACGTAGTCGCTGATATGGCCGCTGGTGTGACGTGGTCGCTGATATGGCATCTGATATGATGTGGTCGCTGATATGAGCGCTGATGCGACGTGATCGCTGATACGGGCACCGATGTGAGGGCAGTGGTTGCTAGTGCTTCGGGACTGCGTAACGACCTGTGTGGCGCATCCTGCTTACTAAAAGGTCGACGGATTGGAAGAAGTCCACATGTTCTTGTGAGAAATAAGCGCAACTGCATTTTTGAACATGACCAACACGGAACTGTACGCGAATGTGCGCAAATGTGCGTAAAAGAGTTGAAAGAGTGGAAAATAAACCTGCTCCGTTCGGTATTAAAGGTCATGAATAACACTGCCTTTCGTTTAAAAATTATGCAGTGTCAGTTTGACACTTTTAACATTTCTAAATCTACTAGATCCATCGTGCTTTCTAGGACTCAAACAACTCACCGAGTGTGAACCTTCCTTCGACATATTCAGCTTTTAAATAGCTTGTAAACGGCACGCTCATCGCGAAAAAATTGGGAAAAGGTACTTGATGATTTTATGATGTCGATGGCTTGACGGATCTGAGCGTAACATTGCATAAAAAGGGCACTCAGGCACACATGTGGAGCATTACATAATGTATATCAGCCGTGTTGGTGTCAGTTACAGATGCAGGAATGTGATGGTACGGAACAAATTTTACATCTGCTTGTGGTTTTGGAGAATAAAAATAGAAGCTCTTTTGTTGGCCAGCTGAACGCAATAAGCGCTCGATGCATGTTCTACAGTGTCATTGTTTGGCGTTGTCTTTGCATATGCAGTGTTGCTATTTGTCCATGTTGTAGGTATTACTCGCACCTCTTTCATCACTGGTGGCACTTTGTGATCTCTACCGGAAATATTTGGTTGCTCCCTTAGACCATTTACCGTGCTCCATGTAGACACCTGAGTATCAAATGTATCGTGTTATCACTCTTGGAGTGGCCCTATGGCAGTTCACACGAATCCACATCACCTCGCCTTGGTGCAGCAAACCGTATTTTAGCTTACTTCAGTTACATTGGCACCTTCATTTCTGCATGCAAGCTATAACATCAGCGCCCACGTAATTAACTAGCATTGCTGTAATAAACTGTGATGATCTTTAACAAAATACTAACTGTGTAATCGAACATATTCAGACAGGTGTAGAAAACAGCCGAGCTAAGCTACTCTGGCAGGCTTGAATTATGCAGAAGGGCATGTGCGACTGCTTCACGAGAATGCGTGTACAGTTCAAAGTCCATCGTCCGGTCTCGCGCCGAGTGAGCCGTTGCATTTTACTGAAATAAATACATGCTTAATTACGTTAACAGCTTTTCAGCCATGAAACTCATTAAGCACACGCTGCCCACTCACCTCCCATCGTTAATCCGAACTCGGAACCGTAATGTCTGTATCTTGATGCGTCTTCCAGATCTACCGGACACGATTTTTAGCTGTATGGTATCACCTACGGAGAATATCAGCTGGTCCTGCGGTGAACGCCAAAGTGAATAGTCACTGTTCAACGTCACAGATATCGTGACATGGTTGCAAATCACAAATAATACCTAGTGATGTGATGTTTAACGATCCTTGCACCGCAAAACAGAAAGTATCGGCGCTCTTTTGACTTAATCCAGCAACGTACTGCTCCTCACCTTTGGTTCTGAAAGTGTCTCAAGCATAGTGAAAGCAATGTGACCACTGCGTTTGTGCTATGTCATACGCCACACCACTGCAGGCATGGTGACCGGACAGAGGTCACTCACCTCCCCTCCGTCACTGTACACGGCCGCCACGACACCCGTGCTGCCGGCCGCCGGTCGCAGCGTTGTCAGCAGCGAGAAGTCAGGTGGAAAGCGGGCTGCAACATTAGCGACACAGAAATCGGTCCATCGAGTTTCATTCGTAGGATTATTGTCCATGTCATGCTTTCTGATACAAGAATGGCGCAGAAATAAAACAGTTTTCGTAAGAGATTAGTTGTTTTGAAATTAGTCATCTTAGCCAACTTTGAAAACGTGCTGGTAGTTTATGGAGCTGCCCAAACGGGACGTGAGGAGCACTGCTGGGACGCAAACAAGTAAGCAGTTTTTTGGCAGAGGTAATGAGAGGGGGAAATGGCGAAACGCATTTAGAAAATACGTCAAAAAATGTTCTCCTCATATTCGATCAGCTCTCTTCTAAAAACTGTGTCCCTCTAAAGTGCTGAGACTAAATGGAAAAATTATTGCTTGCATTATACAATAAATTATGGCAAACATTGACAACGGTTTTGGCTCAAAGCATGACGTATCTGTAACAACTGATTGGCTAAGGCTCACTGACCGAAGATCCGATTGGTCGGCACGCTGGGTACGGTGGCGGCCGGCAGCCTGACGGCGCTGTCTGGCCGAGTGCCGCCGCGCGTGAGCGGACGAGAGGCACACCTGCCCGTTACCCGTCGCACGCCGAGCAGGTCAGACGTCAGACCCGCCGCCCGCAGCAGGTCCGCCGGCCGGCCACCGCCGCCTGCAGCAGGGGTCAGAGGTCAGGGCATGTCAGAGGTCATACCTACTGGCTCCAGCAGGGGTCAGGCCCGTTCGGAGGTCTGCTCATGGGAGAGATTAGGTCGGTACTCGCCACTCGAGGTCACGAGGTCACGGGTGGCGAGTAGCTCGGGAGTCGTGAGGGCCTGACCACTACCGCCTGGAGGGGGGGGGGGCGAGTGTCAGGTCAAGGGTCAGATGCCATGTCAACACCTGATCCGCTCATTGGACATCACCTCCTGAAACAGCAGGCAAATGTCACATCAGGGAAAAAAGAGAGGTCAACGTAGATGTCAGGTTCGTAAACCAGTCCCCATCGCCATGGCAAAGGTCATGACTAGCTTCGCATGCGCCTTCTCTGAGCCTGGACCGACCTGATACGAAGTGAACTATCACCCGAAACGGATGCTTCTAGTTATCACATATGCGAAGAAGGCAAAGTAGTAGATTATAGCGGCGGTTTCCGTCTATTAGATAGCAAGTTCTGGCCGAAGGTCCCCCAAGCGTTTCACACCGCTGAGAAGAAGCTTCTGCCTGGAGGAATGTCTAAAACGACATTTTTTAGCCTTCATCCTCACCCGCACCCCCGACACCATCCCCAGCTCCTCACACCACGTTTTTTCACATTATTGGTCTTCCTCATTAATGTGTTACTTGTTTGTGCTTTGTTAAATATTACATGGCATGCAACAGAGCATCATTATTGGACGTGGAAAAGCGTTTGATGGCTTTGCAATCTTCCCCTTCGAGATGGGCCAGGGGCTTCAAATCATACTAAAGGTTTTTCTGGAACATTTGTTTAACAACTTCGTGAACGGTTCAAGTGCGGGTGCCTGAGTTTTTGTTTTCCCACACCATGTAAAAAGTTGAAGCTTCTGAGCTGACAGTTCATGATCTTTGACCTCTTTCTCGAGGTTATGTTAGTCATATTTCGCTCAAAAGCGGCGTATCTTGCCGATTTATCGCATGATAGACCCCACGCCCGGCCCGGGGTCTCAGGCAACCGCGCCCGGCCGGGGTCTCAGTCAACCGCGCCCGGCCGGGGTCTCAGGCAACCACGCCCGGCCGGGGTCTCAGTCAATCGCGCCCGGCCGGGGTCTCAGGCAACCGCGCCCGGCCGGGGTCTCAGGCAACTACGCCCGGCCGGGGTCTCAGGCAACGGCGCCCGGGCGGGGTCTCAGGCAACCGCGCCCGTCCGGAGGGAAGCTTACTTCCTCCCTGGGATCTCTAACTCCCAGATGCTGTATGAGAAAAACAAAGTATCGTTTTGAGGATTTTGTCAAATCATCAAGGATGCTTGTGTAGATTTTGATCTTAGATCAAATGTAGGGTCCCCAGAGGTCACGAAAGGTCAAAAGGTGCCGTTCCGATGTGCATGAGAATCAGCACTCTTTATCTCATCTAAAAACCCCACAACTACCCAAAAATTCCCACAAATTTGCAATGTTTATAAAAAGTAACAGAAAGTGGCCTAACCAGTTTACTGACCTCAGCATTTTCCGAAATATCTTAAACAAACAACCTGTACGTTAGGTCATGTTCTGTTGTCATCGCAGGTCCAACCATGGCAACTCACCCACAAAAAGCTATGTGTGGTCAAAGCTTTTAAAGGTTGGCCTCTTTGATCTGGCCTGGGTCACCGCTCTTGGCATATTAAAGTCTCAAATATGCACAAGGGATGCAAAATTGATAGAAAACAGGATGACCCACCATAAAATTGATAAACCACCCCTGGCCAGGCACGGCTTAACACACAAATGGCATGTGCGGATATTATTCAATGATTATCTGTTGGTGTTTTTCGAGGGCTAGGCAATGCCGTCTTTCGTATCTCCACAGCGTCCTTAAATTTCGAGATAACAGAATGGGTATGTATATCTTAATCGACTCATTTGACCTCGTTTAGCATGTCAAAAGTCACATTCACTGTTGTTAAGAAAATCTATCATATCTAGTTTTATGAGTGCTTCCACATGTTGCTTTTTCCATGGAGGCTTCCTTAGTTTTGGAGATATTAGGGGGTTCAGAAGCCCCCTCGTAACGCGAAGGCAAAAGAAACTCCATGAGGGCAAGGGTCTATAATTTCACGGGACTTTAATAGGCCTTCAGACATAGAATAACTGAGCATTGCTGTGAGCCCGCAAGAATCGATGCGCACTAAAACGCATCAATGGACCACAGTGATGAGCCCTGATCAGTGGCGTAGTTGAAGTGGTGCGAGGGGGTCTTTTGAGACCTGTAACTCAAGGGGGCTCCCTGGGCCAAACACCTCAGTATTTTTCGGTCGTTTAAGACCCCCATAGGGACTTTAAAAAACGGACCCTCAATACATCTAAAGGGGACCCCGAGTCTACTAAGGTTTCCCGAATGAAAACATCCCCTGCAGCGAACAAGTAGCCCCTTTGGGTGAAAGTGCATTTATGCCCCGATTTTGTCCTCCGAGTGAAATCCTAGCCACGCCACTGACCCTTGTGGATATCAAACTGCATTGAGGAATACCATTTGTTCGCACAAAATGCTCGCCTCAGCCGCCATGTCAGCTGGTCCGGTTGCTGCCATTGCCAATCCCGGTCCTCATCTGAGCCCGCGGGTGACCTGGGGCTCACCAGCGCCGCTCAGATGAGCCAGGCAAGGCCGCCGCCTGTAGCTCGTGCTCGGCCCGGGCCGCCCGGCCGGCGCGGGTCCGCCGCCGCGGTCTGTTTGCTCGGCCGCTGGTACATGGTTTGTTTATGTAAGCCATAGCTGCGGGCGGGCCGACTCTCGCGCCGCGTGGCGGATGTGAGCGGGACACGGAACTCCTCCGCAGCGACGGCGCTGACAAAAAGCGCTGCTGAATAGGGGCGGCCGCGCCAGTGGATGGTGGGAGTGTATCGCCCAGACCCTCAGGCCAGGTGCGGCTGGAGGCGTGGAAAACCACACGCGGAGGAATCATTTCAGCTTGCTGAGATAATTCTTTTTCGCAGATTTTACGCTAGATAACCGACGGGCTCACGGCTTGCGTTAAGGTTTGGCTTACTGGTCACGCTTTAAAATTTATGTAAACTCCGCCGGCACTTCTGGATGTGCATCTTTTCCATTTCGGTGTCTGTGTGATCAGAGCAGCCACCGCTGACATGTTCGAATGTTCATGCTCTAAATGTGGGAAACAGGCAGCTAAATTAAAGTGGAGCACAATGTCGAGTGCCAGCACGTCAACTGGTACACCTTTGGCAATTCGTGTCAATAATTTCGCATTGTCACAGTAGAGTCTACGACGATGCGTGAAAAGAACGGCTTGGAATTCATGTTGGAGCTTCCCATCTGGTCCTGAAAAGTGAAGCCCATGCAGCGCAAGGCTACGGAGCGCAATAAAAGAATGTTCCAATGCCTTCCTTATGTGTTCATCGCCACCTGCAGCGATCTACGAGTGACAGCCCGTGTGACTCTGCAATGCCTAAACTAGATGCTGCAATAATACGAGAATGAACAACATAACCCGTACGTCTTAAGCAGACCAAAGGATGAAGGCATATATGCGCCTAGCTAGCTGGATGTCACCAGTATGCCTTACTCCTGCGCCTGGAAACCCGAGCTTAAATAATTTCAGGTGAACGTATTCTACCGTCACATTCATGGTAAATATTCCTGCCTACGAGACGTATGGTTGGTAATCAAGTGCGCCCAACTGTGGGAGCAGCGACACGATCTCTCATTTCTTCCACGCACGCCAAGCAGCACCAATACATAGATGCCTATTTTAACCCATAGTGCTTAAACTGCACTTCACACAACGCGTTGTTTAATCCAACAAATACGGCACTTGCCACGTATCTGTTGATTATTCTCAATTCATTTTTCAAAGCACGCAAGTGGCTTCCATTCATAGCAGCGACGGTGGAACTTCTGGGAAGACGGAAGGAGCAGTGAGGACGAGGGATGAGCAAACAATTTGCCGCCGTTTCTGTCAGCTAAATGACATTACATCGCGTACATAACATGTTAAATGGGCTATTCCACAAATGAAAACATTGTTGCAAGCACCCTGTGTATTGGAAAAAGCTCACTTGGAAACTATTGCTATCTTTCTAAGTGTTAAATACTGCTCTAGTTAATGCAGTTTCACTACTTAGTAAATATTTTCCTCGAATCCTGTAATTACATGATTACGTCGCGAAAATTTTTATGACGTCAGAGTCGCTGTCAGACTGGCCGTGTCAGAGTTGCCACGGAAGCGAACGGCGTGACTGACTCATTTGTGGTACCTCAGCGCGCCGCAAGGTGGCGAATGGTACTCGCTGGTATGTACGCGCAAATTTATGTTATAAGGGTTATGTGCGTGTTTCTGACCTTTCTTTATGATGTTCTTGCATTTTTCGTATTCATGCTCGTCACCTGCATTGCCATTTTCAGATACGGCGCTATTCTTAAGTTATTCGGTTCTTTGCGTAATGCCCGTCATAACTATTACTCGTCTTCATGCATGTATCAGTTGTCACAAAACGCGGTCCGTGATCAATAGTGCAGCCGGTAGCTTAACCTGGTTGTTGGCTAAATGCCGCTTTGTTGAAGTCTTGGTGCTGAACCACTGTAAACACTTTTTTATCATGAGCACACACATTTTGATAATGTGGGCCCCATTGATTACTAAGGCTCCAAATCAGACATGCCCCTCCCCCCCCCCCCCCCGTTGGCAAAATACTGGTTGCGCCACTGGTAAGCCGTTCTCCACAGCTCAAACAGCCTAGATAAGTGCCATGTACAAGTTCACAGGCCGACGCGGGTACAGAGTTGTACAGAAAACAACAAGGCAAAGAAGCTACGTTTGTCTCCACCACCCCACCACCGCAGCAATGCTAACCATTGCTGAGGCTGGGAACGGTGTCCCTCACCTGCCACCCCTACCTACCTGGCTGCCCTGACATGGACGATGTGTACAGGGTCGATGTTCAAATTTGCGCATAAGTTTTACGGAGCGGCATTACCTCATGATAATGGAAGCTGTCC